ATAATATATTAATTATTTTACAAGCTAGCCCTAACATGCTCATATTTAATGTTTTAAAAGATGTAGAAAAAAAACTTATATTAACTCTATTGTTTTTTAGACTTAAACGTTGATTAACACCATAGATTGAGAGTTTATATTTAGTAAAATTCCTAATTGTAATAAAAAAATTAATTTTTGCTATATTTTAGAATATCTTCAAATTCATTATAAAAAAAAAAGAAAAAAAAAACTACAATGAAAAAAGCAAGTCAGCTATATATCGATTTGTTGTACTCCTCAAATCACATTCACAATTTCGCTACAAGGAAAAGAAACTCATTGATTAAAATATTATTTTGTCAGTAATCTTAATGTACAAGAGGCTTTAAGACTCCATTTGAATATTATAAAATTTTTATTGAACATTGTACAATTTTCTTGTGTATTATAAACTTTTATTGAATATTGCATCTTATAATATAATATTCTCCAAATAAATATATATCGTGCTTCGCACGGGTCACGTACTATATATATCCCGTACATTTTTCTTTATTCATCTATATAATTATAAGCCTGGATAAATAGCCTTAAAATTGTGCACCCCGTGCATCACACGGGCTCTGTACTAGTCGCCTTGAACTGCGATACATATTGTGAACCATGTCAGCTCGAGCATAGTCGAATTAATGAAGTATCGTTGCTCGATCCTGGTTACTTGAGCGAATGACCTCGACCAACATATACATACACCAATCCGGTTATCTACCATTCAAAATGTTGGAATGTTAAGGTGTATATGTTGTGTGATTGATTTCACTGGGTTTATAGTCGGTCTGATTGAGATAGACGTATTCGATTCTATGTATATTGGTCAATAGATTTAGATGTGGACCTTATATTAAGGGCATAAATTATATTAGGAGCATATATGACGGGTAATATTAGTAGATAGCCTTCTCATTTTGTAATAGATGAAATAGTCACTTTTGTAGAAGTATGAATAATAGTCATTTTTTGCTTGTGGGATGACGGCTGAGAAGAATCAGGAAGTGGCTGCTACAAGCGATGGCGGTGAGGGCGAACACGACGGTGGCGGGCGACAGATGGAAGTGGGGACTACAAGATGGTGGCAACGGCGGTGGTGATAGCGCTGTTAGGGAGGGAGAGCAGCGCCGTATGTGCGGGGAGGGAGGATGATGAAGATCGTGTATCTCGATACTTGGATTTGCTTCAAATGATGCTAGCACACCTCCTTTTCGACAATAGGTTGCTTCAAATGATGATTGGACACCTCCTCCTTGGCGATAGGGAGACAGCTCGGACGTGAATCCTTGCTATACTCGAGCTTATGACGAACTATGCGCTGAAACGCTCTTTTTGACACAATTTTGCGATAAAACTCTAGGAATTCTAACACAAGTTGGTGACCAATGGTCGGATTTTTTATTAATTCAAGACATGATTAAAAAGATGAGTACATAGGCATATTTATAAGAAAGGAATACTAAGCCTATGAGAAAATAAATTCTAATCCTAAAAGGAATCAAATACTAATCCTATGGGAATAGTATTTCTAGAATCCTAAGACTTACCAAATAACTAATTAGACACCAGTCGATTAATTAGACACATGCTAAATAACCAAAATACCTAAATAATCTAGAAAAATCAATTAAATTCCTAATTAACTAACTAATCACGTTTAGACCTTGAACAACCCCTCTAGAACTTTCTTGAACCATCCACGACCTTCCGAAAGCTCGATCATGGGACTCAAAAGTCAGCTCTGCGCGACACTGTGTCTCTGGCCGCGCCCATGCGTGTCGATGCTCGCGCGTGTAGCCACGCGCACCCGTTGTCCTCGCGACTGTTCACCTCACCCACTGCTTGCGGCGTCTGCCGCGCCTGCGCCATGCGAGCGTCCGTCCTGCGTCCGATTGCCTGAGCACGCTGCGCGCGTCGCGCACCATACTCGCGCACTTGGCGTTTTGCACGAGTCACCTGGTGTCTTAGTCATCTTCACCAGGTTTCCCTACATCGATGTGCATCCCGAAACCTCCAATGGCGCGTCTGTCTGAGGCGTGGTCTCGTCCGTGTCCAAGCGGCTTTGCGTTGCCTTTTTGGTCGTCGAGCGGCCTTCCTTGTGCGTGTTCGTCGTATACGAGCTCGTGCACGTCTTCGATGTCATGCGCGTGCCTTGTTGGACCTTTGCTCGACCTTTTCTCTTGGCCCTCGAACCTCCTCGTCCCTTGGAGCCCAAAACCCCATGCTCATCAGAGAGAGCGGGGGTGGGTGGGGTGGGCCCAAGGGTAAAGATAGTGTGTGTAGGTGGGTGGGGGTGATAACGTCCAAAATACCGTTAACGAGTGTAAAATTCTAGGTTTTTTTACCATTGTATTATCAAATCGTATGACTACGATGTATTTTTATTTCTTTTACTGAGAATCATTCTCACTGAAACTCAATCTTATACATATATCTAGACATATAATATATATTCATTTTTTCTATCAAAATAATTAAACGGGACAAGCGATCCAGTCCGCAACGAAAATATTCAAAACCAATACCTATATTATTTTAAACAATTCTATCTCTGGAGGGACACCCAAATAAAGAAAACTTGTTGGAACCGTATTTTTCGGGATGGAACCACTCGGTCTGTTTCGATATGAATCGAATATTTTGCTCACCCCTACTAAATTTGGACAACGTAGAAATCAAAATTGAATCGCGTGTGTGAGATTGGAAATAATTTTTCTGGCCACATTGATATTTTATCGAACAATGCTAATTAATAATCATGGGCACCAGAAGTTGGAAGGCATATATTGCTCTAAATGAATTAGCAGATAAGAAATAGAAGAGACTAAATGTCAAAAAAGGGTAGTCTGATATTTGTATGTTTCTGCATGTAAAATTTGGCAGCATATGTTATATAGATGGATATATATCTATTTATCCAATTTTGATCTCATCTACTTTCTTCTATTAGTTATTTTTCTTCTTTTAAATCAATTATCACCCGTGCATGATAATCTTAAATCTAAAGGAAGGCTATAGACATAGATAAAACAAAGAATACCAAGGTCTTATCAAGTTCAGAGGCTATGCCGATTCTCAAGAACCTAATTGTGTCACTGATCGTTTTACTTCTCCTGACTTATGGCCGTGTTGAAGCTAATCATGAGCAGAAGGTACACTAATCCACTCTCTTCCATAACTCATTCGACTTTTGATCTCTTCCATAATTAAGTTCAAACTTTGAGCTCATCAACATGATCATGATTCTTATGCAGATGAAAGCTAACGATGGCGGGCAAAGTTCTGGGATCGCGAAAATGGGTATTCTACTTCACTCATAACAACTTCTTTTCTTCTTACAAACATCATATGTACTTTTCCTCAAGTCTCAACACTTACTTTGTGAAATGATGTTTATAGCTGGAATTTAAAAATAGGAAAGAATTCGTACTTTAGATTTCTGATTCTGCATCTAATCCGACTTTAAACAGATTGTGGGGTGGCTTGTGCCGCAAGGTGCCAGTTGGCATCGAGACAGAATTTGTGCAAGAGGGCTTGTGGGACCTGCTGTGCTCGTTGCAACTGTGTGCCACCCGGAACCTCCGGCAATCAACACCTCTGCCCGTGCTACTATGCCATGACTACGCATGGCGGAAGGCTCAAATGTCCTTAAAACTAGCAAAAAAAACCAGTATGTGTTCATATGTAGTGTATGGTTAGACTTTGAAATATTTTTCNNGGTCCCTTTCGGAAGAAATAAAGAGCCCCATCACCATGTAATGGGCGGTGTGTGTACCTTGTGTATCTTGTTTTACTAAAACTACCCTTATGTTTCCGTGTACCTACAAAGAGCAGCACATTTTTCTCTCGAGGTTAAACGAACCTCACTGGAAAAGCACACCCCCGAGATGCAGTTTACTGAACGTTCAGGGACCCAAAATTCCAGGCATGCACAAAGCACAAAGCACAAAGCACCAATCAAATTGAATTTGGTATGCAAAAACTTATTACAAAAAAGAGCATAAAATAAAAGCCCAAACATTTAGGTTTTACGTGTCGGCTAGAAGGTAAAGAAGGCACGTGTCAAAAATATTAAGCGGATACATTTAGGTTTTACGTAGTTAGGGCTTGACCAACATCCTGAACACTGGTGACAAATGATCTTTACTCCTGCTTTTCCAATTCTCCCATCCTCTCAATGATCGCCTGTAGAACAAAACAAAGAATATTGAAACAATATTAGTGGGGGAAATCGTCTGACATATCACGCCGTTATATGTTTTAGTAATGAGGATCTGTGTCTCTTGTTTATTGTACAATATGAACTCGGCCGTGCATAAAAAATTACGGCAATGGTTTTTCATTTTTCCCATCCATGTATCATGAGGTGGAGGTAAAGGCAATATACTTACCTTCTTGCTCGTTTCTTGCAGTTCTCCAGCGAGTATGAACTCATCCAATATGAGATATACCTATAGAAAGTCAACAAAAAGAAATATCATCAGTGTTTGAAAGTGATGCACTAAGATGAGAAAAAAATAAAATCACAGAACTGAGAAAGTAAATTTGATTTCGGGGTACTCCTGCATAATACACAATTTTGTTGTTCATAATCCCATCAAAGGAATATATAAATCATATGGCATCACATTCAACAAAACTAAATGGAACATTTTTTTCCAACAAAACCGAGCAATAAGTATCCGAATCAAATTTTATCCTTGGTAATAATCCTAACAGAGACTACAAAAATGGTATATCTAATCGCAAAAGATCCACACGATCGGTGAAGAAACATCAAAAAGAGAGACTGAGCAGTTTACCTTGTGGAAATTAAACACCAAGTCTAGCTCGCACACGTTACTGAAAAAATGATCGAGTATCTCCACGAACAAGTGAATAGATTCCAAATAAGCTAACTCATTATCCGTAATGTCTACACACAACGAGAAAAATAAACCGGCGTATCGCCTATAGATGACCTTGTGAGTCCGAAACTGCAAGAATCAACAACCCGTTACAATTATCACACAAGGTATAAAGTATAAAATTATACAACCTGAATAATTATTTTAACAGAACTTTCTCTCGGTTTCAGAATGTGGCCTATTTGATTTACCCAACACATAAATGGATAATAAATTAAAACCTACAAAATTCATCATATCATGATTCATGATCTTCAGTGTATAAGCGTATAACAGTATTAAATTACTTTAAATCGAGTAAACAAACGATTAACGGACAATGGTACTAAATTGAGAGTTGGCTAATATACATTTATATAATTTTACCTCGACAAAGTTGGTGAATTTAGGATCCCTATTCACAACTAATCGATGAACCTGCAATAATCAAATGGAAAAGAAAATCAGAAAAAAAAATTATAAGAATTCGAAAGCAAGCTGAAAATACGAGATGTTCATAACAGTAATAGATAGGGAAGATCGGTTGTTTTTACCTCGTATTCAACCTTATGCTTCTCGGATTCCTCTAGAGGAATGTAGTATTTGGCTAATCGAGTTTTTCCCTGCCTGTTCTGCAATAATATGAATCGGATCTGCAAAGAAATTAAAATCTTAAAAAAGCGATGCGAAAAATCACAAAAGAAAATAGGCACAGGCACAGGTGTTTTACCATTTTCCCCCAAAGATGTTTGCTTGAGCACCAGTAGATAGTCCAAAGTCTTCAAGTTTTTGGAATTTCTGGAAAGTGAGTAGTGTTACGTGTACAGCTGAAATTGTGGAATTGCGCGAGCGAGGACACTAATAAAACGCTGGTGGATTGGAAAATAAAGCGTGGTTATCCTTCAACATTAATAAATTGTGACTTCGATTTTACTCGTAAAAACGCTTATCAGTTCGTTTATTTATTCAAATAAATTGAGTTTGTTTATNATAGATTTTATAACTCAAAAGAAAGTATGTACAATACCGAGGGTCAACTAATCCAATAGACTTTCAAGAACAAAGACTAGGGAAAACACCACGTGGTGTCCTAAAATATAACTCAAAATAGAAGTTGAGGCCAACCGAGTCGCAGTGACTACTCAACTCTTGGGCCAAGCAAGTTACACAAACGCATGGCACTACAAAAAGAAAAACCACCACTGCACCTACTGGGCTTAGTAGAATTTCAGCTAAAACTCACCAATGAAAAGAAACACTAAACCAAACTGCAAGCTAAAAGCAAAGAAAAAACAGCTAGCCAACAGAGCAGCAAATAACTAACAAACAAAGCAAGTAGAAGTTCAACAAGAAGTTAAGCTACTGAGGTCAAACTAAACTCATTCCAGTCCGTAACAGCTGCATCCATTATTGATTTAGAGAATCTCCAAGTCTTTTTGAACACCCATATGTTTCTGACTTTCCAAAGCCACCAGAGGATGTATATTGACAGTTGTATTCTTGCCTCTGAGGTGGACTGTTGTTGAGTGAACATATCTTAGACTACCAAGTGTTGAAGTTGTCTGATTCCAGTTGGAGTCCATCCCAGGATAGTTGAGCTAGTTTCCAGATTTGTTGGCCACTGGGGAAAGAGAAAAAGAGGTGTTCTACTATCTCTGGTCCTTCCCCACAGCTCATGCAGGTGCTTTCAATCTTCATTCCTCTCTTTATCAGGTTGCAGTTGACAGGCAAAATGTTTTGCATGCTTTTCCAAAGAAAGTGTTTCAGCTTTCTCTTGATTTTAAGTTCCCAGCATCTCTTCCTTGTTGCAGAGTAGAGTCTTTGATTCTTGCTTCCTTTGGCCATATACATCTTCTTCCACTTAGAATCAAGCAGTTTAGTATAAGAAGAAGAAACTAAAAGTTTGCCTCTTGGACCATGCTCCCAAAGAAGTCTATCTGGTTTTGAAGGGTCTAGGTTTTTGAAACTGAGGATGGCAACTGCAACTCTATCATTAAACAGTTGGTGTAGGAGCTCATGGTTTTAATTTCTTCATGTTTCATCCAGTAGCTCTTTCACCCAAACAAAGTTCAAGTGATTTTCAATTGTACTAATAGGCTGAAGATTTGGAAAAAGGGCACCGATGCATATTCTCACATTTTGATAGAAGCTCCATCTTTGACCTCATATCTGAAGTCATCATAGAGATTATCTCTAACAGCCAGCCAATTGTTCCATTACGAAGAGCTATTTTGTTTTTTCTTCACTGTGAATAAGCTCTCATTGGGGAAATATCTGCTCTTTAGGACTTTGCTAATCAAAAGGTTGGGTTTGGTAAGTGTCCTCATTGAGGAAATATCTGCTCTTTAAGAGATGAATGTCTATGAAATCCAGGCCACCTTTTTCTTTTGGTAGATATAGGGCCTTCCAGGTTCTCCAGTGTAAACCCTTTGTGCAATCAGAACCTTTGCTCCACCAAAAGTCTACCATTGTTTGAGAAATTTGATGGCACAGGGAATTTGGCAAGAGGAAATTGGACATGACATAAACTGGCAAGGCTTGAAGAACTACTTTCATTAGAACCTCTTTACCTGCAAGAGAAAGGTACTTGTTCTTCCAACTACAAAGTTTATCTTTTACTTTATCAAAAATGAAGGAGAAAGTTTCAAATTTAGACTTTCCAATGCCTAAAGGAAGTCCTAGGTACTTAGAGGAGGTGTGCACCTGAATCCCAAGCAGAATTTGTCTAATTGAAAAGATCTGGTAGGGGGAGTGTTTTTGCTGAAAAAAATTGCTAACTTCTGCAAGTTAATCTGTTGACCAGTGATTTGTTTATAGAAGTTCAAAATGTTTAGAATTAGGGTAGCTTGAGCAGAGGTTGCTTAAGTGAAAAGAAGGGTGTCATCAGCAAAGAGGAGATGGATGAGAATAGGGCCATTTTTACTGATCTTCATACCTTTGAAGTTGCCTTGGTCAATTTAATTTTGGATCAAGTGAGTAAGAATTTCTGAAATTAAGATGAAAATGTTGAGTTTCTTTATCTTAGGAGTCAATTCATTCATTATACATAATTTTGTAGATTTAAAACGATCGGCTAGATCGAACATGTTAAAAAATATGCGAATAATGTTCACAACAATATGTCTACAATTTCAAGTTTGCGAAGCGAGATGAGCTTTTGTGGGCTTGAACAAGCCGTGCCCGTTCATTTATAAACAGAACATAAAATGATCTGCTCGATTAACACTCTTATCTCTCTTATATTGCTAGTTAAGGAAATGATTTTATTTTCATTTTGATGTAGGAAGCGTATGAGTGGGAGATAATAGAAGAGATTCAATCTCTCTGTAAGATATTTCTTATTCAATAAACAACCGCTAGGAAACAAGAAAGAGGGGTCTTAAATAAGACTATCAAAAGCCCTAAATTAAATATCTAACAAGCCCAACATCAATGAGCCCAAAATAACCAAGAAATAAACCAAGTGCTAAACATGAACACATCCGAGGTGCGCACATGAGACGGAAAGCGAAGACGGTAGACGTTCGTGTTAATCTTCTCAATGACCTCCACAGGACCAATCTTGCGGGCCGACAGCTTGTTATATTCATGTGCCAGATAGCGGTTTTTTGTCAAAACGGCCAAGATAAAATCGCCCAGATCAAACTCCACATGCTGACGACGCGTGTCTGCCTGACGCTTATAGGCAGCTGTCGTGGCCTCAAAATTTGCGCGCACCTCCTCATGTGTGCTGCACAAATCCACCAATAAGTCTGCAGCACGTCGCTCCTCGAGATCGAAGGATGGAAAAGCCAGCAAGTCCGACGACCCACGTGGGACCATCTGGTACACCACCTGAAACGGACTGTACCGCGTAGCACGATTGATGGCCGAGTTATGCGCAAATTCAGCCTCACTAAGAAACTCAGCCTGACTAAGCCATAGGTCCCACGAGCGCAAAGTAGTCCCAACCAGAAAACGAAGTAAGTTTCCCAATGAGCGATTGACGACCTCAGTCTGGCCGTCCGTTTACGAATGATAGATGCTAATAAAGTCCAGCCTGGAGTTCACCTGGCGCCACGAACTACGCAAGAAGAAGCTGAGGAAGCGTGTATCCCGGTCGGACACGATGGAGGAAGGCAGACCATGTAAACAAAGTCCATGCTAATGGCGCACTAAGGCTGAGAAGGGACCATCAGCAGGCGATACAATCCTGCATTGGACGCGACGCTCTTTGATACCTGGCAAACCCAGCAGCGCTCTACAAAACGAGAGACATCACACCGCAAGGATGACCAAAAGAAGGTGCATTGGACCAACTTTGCAGACTGATCATGACTCACATGGCCTGCACCATGAAGGTCCCCAATTAGCTTCAGCTGAAGGCTGTCATCAGGGACACACAGATGGACCCCTTGAAAAGAAAACCATCACGTAGCATATATCATCAACCAGTCTTGAAGCTAGGCGCGATATAATGGGCCCAAAGAATGCATCACGTGCATACTGGTCTCTTAAAAAATCAAAGCTGGTGACTGTAATACGCATGTCTGTCAGAATAAAAGAACTCTGGCACAATGCGTCGGCCACCCGATTGGACGCGTCAGACCAATTCTTGAGGACGAATGAGAACTGCTACAAAAAGAATGTGCAGGACGCATGTCGGGCAGATATGTTGTCCTAGGACGCAAGATGTCGCAGCGCCTCATGATCGGTGAATAGCACGAACTCACAATGGAATAGATAGTGCCGCCAATGAAGAATGGCACGCACAACCGCATAAAACTCCACATCATAGGTATTGTAACGCAGACATGAGCTTGATAACTTTTTTCTAAAGAAAGCCACTGGATGCGCCTCCTGGCTCATAACGGCCCCAATACCGACCTTCGTGTGTCATAAGATAACTCGAATGGTCATGAGAAATATGGAAGTACTAACACCGAAGCGAAAGTTAACTTACCCTTGGTAAAGGTCGAAAGCATCACGACCTGCAGCATCCAAACAAACGACTTACCCGTAAGGCAATCCGTGATCGGTGTTGTAATGAAACTGAAGTGAAGAATGAGGCACTGGTAAAATGATGCCAGGCCGTGGAAACTACGAGCCTCCGTGAATGATGTTAGGGTTGGTCAATCGCGGGGAGCGGCCACCTTGCTCTCGTCCATATAGATCAGCCGAAACAATGAACCCTGAAAACAACACATAATCCACAAGAAAGAATACTTTCCCAGAGAGGCGAAGAATAAGGACTATGCTCGCAAAATGAGAAGTACCTTGCGGTGATGGTCCAAGTGCTTCTCGACCGAGCGACTATAGATGAGTATGTTACCGAAATAAACGATGACACACTTTTCGGATGAGATCTTAGAGTGTTTGATTCATCACGCGCATGAAGGTGCTCGACGCATTAGACAAGCTGAAGGGCATAACCATCCACTCGAACAGGCCCTCTCAAATATTAAATGCCATCTTCCATTCGTCACCCGGCCGGATGCGAATCTGATGGTATCCACTTCGAAGATCCAATTTGGTAAACATCGTCCCCCCATGCAGCTGATCCAACAGGTCATCCAACCGCAAGATAGGAAAATGATACCGGACCGTAATTTTATTGATCGCACGACTATTGAAACACATCCTCCATGACTTATCCTTTTTAGGAATGAGTAATGCGGGTACCACACACGGACTAAAGCTCCTGCAGATAAAACCCCGCTGTAATAACTCCTCCACCTGGCGATGATGCTCCTCGTGTTCTGCTGGACTCATCCAATAGTGAGGACGGTTCGGTAAAGAAGTTCCCGACACCAAATTGATGTGGTGTTGAATATCCTGTAATGGTTTGCTCCTGACACCAAATTGATGTGGTGTTGAATACCCCGTAAGGGTGGCAAACCACTCGGGAGTTTCTCACCTTTTTCTGTTACAATGCTTTTTTTACTTTTTTT